ATTCTTTGAAAAAAATCCGCAATAATTGTGCATCAACCTAATATTAAACCTTAAGGTGAACGGTAACTTGATTTTATTAAAACAAAGGGTGAAGAGGCAATAATGAGATTCCAAGAACAGTGCAGTGGCCTGTAAAAGCCTAAAATTACAATGAAAAGCCTCAGCAGTGGAGATGTTTCATGGAAGACGTCGATCGGATGATTCAATTTCAAAGGGGATGTACTTTGAATTCACTCCTACAACGTCATTGAAGAGTAATAAGGCACATTCTCCGCAAATTGAATATTTCATTTTTTCCTCGGATTCTAGTACTGAGGCTCCAGCAACGAGTAAACTTCCGTTGCGCTTAGTTGATAGCGTGGAGGGTTCTTTACTACTTTTCCAGAGCCTTCATTTTCAGGATGGGCCGATTTTCTCGTTTCTACCCTTTTTGCACTATTCTGGGCTACCATTTCCACTACTCGTCAAGAAGAGAATGATTATTGTATATAAAAGTGTCAATGTATGTCATGGCAATGTACGTGAGGGACGTTTATATTAGAAAGGGATACCCTAAGATTATCGTAAACTGTGCCTCTAAATGATGCAAGCAAAGTGGGTTTTTTTAAAATTTTTCTCCCCGAGACTATGCTGCTCACAAGTAACAACATCGTCTGGCTCCAGGTGCCCCATAAGAAGTTTCCTGAGAGAATTTTCACGAGCCTTTGCAAAAATTGAAGTATGCCTGTTAAACGATCCACGACAGGAGGGAGGGGCTTTTCATACGCAGTGGTATACTAGTGACACTATCCGATGGCAAAGTGTTTTTAACTCCATGAACAATCGTTGGAAGATATTCTCCATGCTGTTCCTTTTCTCCTCTTCAGCTTCAGGTCCGAGACGACGCAGGATTTACTGTTCCTGTAGGCCGCCTTTACCATTACTAAGGAACGAAAACTGAGCTATTTGGGACATGAAATTTCCAGCTAGTACACGGTCCATCGCTTGGCAGCGTCCGCGGTTGAAGGAGCTAGTAGTAGCTGTCAAATGGGAAGCGATCTGCTGAGCATTTTTAGTGATGGCGGAGGCTTTTACTTGAAGGTAGTTTTCAAATAATTCAACTAATTCTTTCTAATTTTGTAATTTTTATATTTTTTCAAGCAATACTTGTAGTAGTAGTCCTAGACCATATGGAGTAGTATGTCATTTGAAAGTACCCCATCAAGTCAAATTTCAATAATAGTGCAACCATTATCGCACTAAATAGCAGTAAGTGATGTAAAAGTTTCGGGAGCTATTTCACATCTACAACTTCCCCCTATCCTTTGTGTTAAGCACCGGGAATGAAATATTTCGATTAAGCTTTCGTGTGAATTCCTTGATTTGAGTATCTCTCCCCTCAATTTTTCCAATATATTCAACCAAACTTTATTTATGTCGAAGGGATCTTCTAATATTCCTGCACTAGAGTTATTGCAAAGAAAAAACTATTAGTGGTAATAAAGTAAATGAAAAATTATAAAGGAAAGTCTTTGGGCTCTAAGCGATCCTCGATTGGTTGGCCTAGACAGATATCGAGCCGGGACTCCATCTTCAAACCCCACGTTGATAGTCTTTCCTCCCACAACACTAACTCTATCCCAAAATAGATGTGTTTCTTGCAAAATGTCCTTTTCAAGTGGAAACAAAGGGGAGAACTCATGAGAACATTACTTATATCAATTCACAGAGGAGCATCAGCTCTGAGAATGATGTCTCATTCATTTGGATCGGGTCACAGCCTCTGTTTCTATGCACCCCTTCTTTTCATAAGCCATATTGAACCATGCCACAATGTTTCTGAGTCACAAATGTGTCATTCCGACTGTTTCCATGAGCCCACATCAGTATCTGATATCGAATTTGTCGGGCACGATTAAGTTCACTGATAGTGGTCAAACCGTGACAAGAAGTCGGCCTAGCCATTCACTTTAATGTCGAAACTTCTCGGGTTTACCGCTCGTAAGTTCGTTTTTTAATTATTTTATGGCCATATTTTGTAGTGAGACATAGTTTGGGCCAGTACATATACCCAAACCTTCGTAAATTTGTTGATAAGCATAGTAATTATTTTTTAATACTGTTCTTATAAGACCCCATAAGAGACCATGGTTCCCAAGTCCACATGACAATCTTCTATCGAGCTTGTGGGGTAAGAGCTAGGACCAGATCTACAATGCAAAAAATCATGGTATTCAAGGGGCTCAATAACATAACTACGTACTTTATTGGTGTATAAACTTTGCTTTGCAAAAAATAATACTGTAGTTCGGAGGCTCCAGAATATGTTTGTATTTAGACACGAACGGAAATAAATACCAGGCAGAAAACTGGCAATTTTTTTNTTTTTTTAGATACTAGTATCCTGTCTGATTTCCAGAGAATCCTTGCACTTCAAGGAAGGGTGCCTTCTTTCACAGCGGTGGTGTTTCAATAACTTTGTCTGGCTGACGTTTCGGCCCTATCGCCTTTGTCAGAGCGTCGAATGTCATGATAAATGCGGCTTAACCTCTGAGTAATCTGGAGGGCTCTGACGTACGTAGTTCTTAGAATATTCGTCGCCATAATGCGACGTGAGCCGATCTGGTGTCATCCAGTAATAATGACAGAAATTCATCCCAAAAAACCATTAATTCCAGTTTATTTGCGTCTGGCAGAGCTATGGCCAAATTCTTGAAGTGCAGTGGAGTATCAGAAATAAATCAGGGGCTTCCTGTCATTTCTAGGTACATTTTGTCGCTCTTTGTGTCCCTATGCTGGCATTGATGAAGTGCGCCTTCCCTATGAATCGTCTCTAATCTTTTAAAGGGTAAACGGTGATAACGCGTTCGACTATAAGCTGTTTGTCAAATAGAAGTTCATGGCACGCCTTGTAGCAATTTATTTCATGGAGCTACCAGAGCGCAACATAATTACATTGGCATTGTGACGCAGTTTTCAAGCCTTAGATATTTACTTAAAATGGGTGAAGTTGACCAATAGGTCTTGACCGTTCTCATTTTTTTATCACTGAAAAATAACATAATTATTCAATGTCACTTTGTAGCTGCGATAGGAATCCTGATCCACGCGACAGTTCTTAGTTAGTTGTCTCATCGCCCAACCTGAGCGAGTTGATACAACTAACAAAGATTTTGGGCTGGGTTGTACTGCACTAATGTACTGCACTCGCCGAGCCGGAGAGCTGGACGATAGTGCGATAAGGGTCCCTATCTGGACAGCATTAGGAGATAGACTTCCTCTATTGGAAACCAATGCACTCCCCTAGTGCATTAAGCATACCCACCGCCTTTGAAACTGAACACATCAAGCAAAAATGTGGGATGAAAACTTCACGGACCTCTGCGTGACGGAACTTCTCCCCGGATTCCTACGGACGGTTCCACGGCGATTCGCCGTATCCTTCGAATTCCCTTCGCACGCGCGATCGCGTGCGGCGAGCACGACACGCCGTTCGGGGAAAAGATACCAGACTATACATATCAGAACGGGAGTCGAGTGGGTGGCTGTTTTGAAGAGAGATATCGAAATTGAACTCTTTATTCATTATCTACATATTTTAAATTTACAGTTTTTACATTTCAATTTACATTTTTAAATTACATCAAACAACAGCAGGTATTTTAAAGTATAAAGTAAAGTAAAGTATTTTTAAATATTTTAAAGCTTCGCGATTTGATCTGCCATTTCCTATCGTTGCCAATGGGAATTTCTCAAAGTTTTCTCAACAGGAGCCCAAAAGTCGTTTATACTTTACTCCTTGTTCATCCTGTAATTTCAGTAGCGGTAATATCGGCTGTGGCCGTTGCAATTGCGTCGCTGGTCCTCAACATCATCATCCTTTCTCGAGTAAACAACCTCAAAGGCAACAACAACAACAATGGCAACAATGGTACAGGATCTACCGTAGCGCCCGCAGCGCCCACAGCGCCAACGGCGCCGCCACCGATTATAGTGAATGACACGAAATACTGCCCAAACGTCGGGCCGGCAAACAATTCTGCTCCTTGGACCGTGAGCATTACCAACTTAACATTACTTTGTGCATTTTGTTGACTATTACAATAGATCAATAATCGATCACTATCTGCTCGGTCAAGGTTTAAAAGCTATCTTATGTAGTGTTATAAATGCGGTGAATGCTTTGGCTACGACTGAGGTGTATGACTCTACCCATCCGATTGAATGTTCAATGAGTAGTAATACTTTACTACTTTGGTGACAGAAGTCAAAAGGGCCCAGAATCAAGATTTAAGCCAAGGTTTACGAGACAAAAGTTCGGAGATTGCTGTCGCATTGCTTAATTCACACCCAACTGATGTCAGCAGATGTCAGATTTGCTTTAGCATTAATTTTCTTCTGCAAGGAAGGTATGTATCCAAGTATCCAAGTTTCTCACACTTTTGGGTCCTCCAAATTGTCAAACCACTCCTCATCTACTTCTCAGCAAGCCTGATATGTTGTTCGTTGAATCTTTCGCATAAAACCTCCTCCCAATTCCCATTCCCTGCCCCTTCTCACTGGCCAAGTAACGGGGCGCGTCCGCTCCGCGCGTCCGTCGAAACAAGGCCACCCCAACCACTTCGCGTGTGGCCCAGCGCACTGGGATCTCGAGATGACCTTACGGTACCACTTAGTGATGGTGCAGCGAGCGGTTTGCACTAGTCTTTGTTATATTTCCTTTGAGCTTACTGCCGTGGACCAAGCGCTAAGCATATGCCCCACTGACAATTGCGACATTTGTCAAAAATCGCGTACCGCGTGCGACGGCTGCGCCGTGACCTGGTTTCGAGGGACGCGCGAAACGAAGGGCACCCCCAAATAACCCATCTATCTCAATTTATGAGACTGCCTTCAGTGTTGGTTAAGAGTATTTTTTTTAACTTGAGGTTTTGCTGATTGGGAACATTTCATCATGTACAAAAATGATTCTGTTAGGCATGAGTCTTCAAAAATGACTTCTGGAACATTTTCGAAAAGGAATGGCTAGGTAAAAAGAAAATATTTTATTGGATAGTTTAACAAGTAGTTTCCACAAATAATTGCTTAATATAGTAGTTCAGAAACCTACAGTATCATATCTCAGAAGAGTTACTTCTACAGTTTATAGTAACGTTTCGAGTGCAGTTTGTCATTTCAGCAAGCTGCTGCTTATCTCCTGAACGGCCTCGATCAAAGTATTGACCCATGTGAAGACTTTTACGCTTTCACATGCAACAAGGTTTGCTTCATAAAATTTATTTCGGCATAGTGGGCGATTGATTGTGGTAGAATATGATTATTCCTAATTGCAACTGATCGATATTCATCTCTACTGGACCTTCAGTTCATCGCCCAAGTGAATCTGACAGCTCTGGGAAAGGGCCGACTTGGAACGTACGATCAGGCACAGGTAGACGTGAATTCACAAATTGCTGCTACCCTCAAGAATGTTGACGTGAACGATGACAAGAAGTGGTCGTTAACGGAAAGGATAACCAAGGCTGTATGTTTCCCGAACGTTCCTTTTTCAAACTACAGAAAGCTAAAAATCGATTCATAAAAATACTTTTACTGCTTACAATTTAATTACTCGGATTTAGGCTCTCGATGCATGTGTGATCAACAGCAATCTTGAACATTCTCTAGACAACTCAAAGCAAATTCTAGCAGATATTAACAAATGGCAAGATCATCTAATTTAATATTGGTTTGTGATGATATTTATAAATAAGGAAGATGATCTCCCGATGTTTTTAGGTTTGGAGGTGTGCCCTTCCTCAATCAAGCACTCAAAGATAATGTGGATATCTTCGCTGCAGTAGGTACCATAGAACAAACCCATGCTGTAGGAACATTGATGGGATCCTGGGTGTCCGTCGATTACAAAAATGTTGCTCAAAACGCTCTCTATGTTTCTCAGGTACGACTTCAACTTGACTGTGGAATTTAGTTTCCACTTTGTTTGGTAATTCATTTCGAGATCACTGCCTTCTCTGAGATTTCAAAGAGTCAATTCCAATTGCCTCCTCATGCTACATAACTTTTCTTCACTACCTCTCCTAAGGTGTTTGCCAGAATCTAGAAAAGAAATTTCGCTCTCATGGAGAAGTAGATGGGGAGAGGAGCAGGGGTG